GAACACTAACATACCTCCCGCACGCCCTCTGGCCGAAACCGAACCCCAGCCCGCCGATAATAGTGGTGATGAGTGGCTAGATGACGGCGGCCAACCTCCTAACCAACGAGCGGGTCACAACATTGTCAATCTGCTTTTCAGAGTTTCGGAAGACAATGCAAAGCGAAACGGCTGTGTCCACAGAGGTTGTCAGTGTAACTCATGCGGCATGGTACCTATCCGAGGAGTTCGATATAGGTGCTCCAACTGCGCCGACTTTGATCTCTGCGAGACTTGCGAATCGCAGTGTGTGCATACAAGAACACATGTCTTTTACAAAATTAGAGTTCCCGCTCCCCCGTTTGGCCCAAGGCAAATGCAGCCCGTCTGGTACACGGGCGACCCTGACACCTGTCGACGAAACCTCCCAAAGAATCTGATTGCGAAACTCACCAAGGAAACTGGTTTTGAACGTCCCGAGCTTGAGGCTTTCTGGGAACAGTGGACATTCATGGCAAATACAGAATGGCGAGAAGATCCCGATGAACTATACCTTGCAATGGATCGCAAGACTTTTGAACGATGTCTTGTACCCACCGGTCGTTCACGTCACGCGCCTCCAAACCTTATCCATGATCGCATGTTTACTTTTTATGATTGGAATAAGGACGGATACATTGGCTTCTCCGAGTTTCTCATTGGATTGTCATATCGGAAACGGAAAGATAAGCTACGCAAGATCTTTGAGGGGTACGATATTGATGGGGATGGTTATGTGAGCCGAAAGGACTTCTTGCGCATGTTTCGAGCTTACTACGTGCTGTATAAGCAGATGCACAAGGATATCCTTGATGGCTTAGAAGATCAACTCTCTGCAAACACAGAGGCACAACAACTCGTGGCTAGTCGCCAACCACTCAGTAGCCTGTTTGGGCGTGAGGGAGGGGTTCCTAGTGGGGATGAAGGCATGCGTTTTGAAGGCAAAACCGTTCACCGGGATGGCACTGTTGAAGTAGACGAGAATCATCAAGCTGCGGTGTCCAAAGATAAAGATGATACTGTTGCTCGCCAGGATATACTCACAAGTCTCTTCGCATACGACGGCGACTGGCCCTCCCGCTGGCAGTCCGAGGCAAGGGTAAGGCTGAGCCCTGGCGAGGAGGATGATCAAAACCACGACCAAAATGGAAGGACTTTAGGGGTAACGGAAGGCGACCGGCCTTACCTGGTTACACTTCTTGAGCCCCCTACATCGCTCGACGAGCTACCTGATGCAGTGATGGGAGGCCATACTCTTGCTGTAGAAGACGTGGAACATGATGCTGAGTCTGGAGATGAAGAGACGGAGCATAATGGGTATCCGAGGCCCATGAATACTGAAATCGAGGACCTGATTGAGGCTCAAAACTACACGCGACAACGACTATCGAAGTCAGAGAAGCGCAGGCGAGATATGGCCCGGTCACGACTCCATGACCGATGGAGGCGACGAGAGTTTTATCTTGATCAAGAAGAAGGCGCCACTGCTCCAGAAGGGTTTACTGAAGCAGACGAATATCTTCCGCTAGACGAGACTGAGGCGGGAGAGGGCTCCATGTCCACAGAACACCCATCAGGCCCATCCCGATCACGATCCAGCTCAAAGGTCCGGTTTGCCCACGATGACGAAGACAATGAGAGCCGGTCCAATCACTCTGCATCTTCCAAGGGCATGTCAGAGCGATGGAGGGCTCCCGAAATTCCCAGCGTTGAACGAGATGCAGGGAAGGAAATCATGTATCAGGTGACACAACAAGCATTCAACGAGCTTCTAGATGCTATCTTCAAGCCCTCAGAAGATCTTTGCATTGAAGCTCGCAAAAGTAAGAAGATGCGCGAAAAATTCAAGGATCTAATTGACGCTTTTGCCATGCCGGAAGATGGCAATCCACCAGAGGGCTATGCGTCTCCCGCATTGGAGGTGCAATCCCCAAAAGTAAAATCGCTGGAGGATCTCTTGGCCGAAACTGGTTACTCGGTAGATCCGGAAGTCGACCAGGACGCTGAACAAGAGGTCAACCCTGAGATAGGTCAGATTGGTGCCTATGCTGCGGAGTGGCGATCCCATGAACGTGATCCAACATTTCCTCAGTTCCGCCCAAACCAGATGACGTATAGGGACGTGCTTCGATTAGGACTGACAACGTATCCTGACACCCGACCTCCCCAAAGCGAAACCGGCTTTACCTTTGATATCACCGAACACCACCTTTACAGCTGGAAGAGACTGAGCGCTGCCGAAGAAGAGGCAAAAGCCAGGAAGGGGTGGGGCAAACTGAGCTTTGAGGAGTTCGAAGAGATATATCGAAACCAAGAGTTCCGGGGTAACAGGCTAGATTACCTGGGTAGCTGGATCGACTTCTGCATTCCATAGTATAAATCAAGAGTTCTTCCGGGCTGGCTTTTCTGAGAAGCTGGATCGACTTCTATATTCCATAGGAAGAATATGGACGGCTAAGACATGTGAGACGGCTATGAGGCATGCGGGACGAGGGCATATGAGACGTACTTGAAAATTCACCTTCAAAGTTATATTCAGCGAGCAGCGTTACGGGATTATAAGCTCGAGATGCTTTTCATACAACACGGGCCAGCGGTAGTCAAACATACATACATACCACTTTAATAGAAGCATATCACATTACTGCTTGCAAATTAAACCACTTCTTCGCCAGGACTCGGTTCCTGGGCACATCTGTTTGATTGCTATTCAGTCTTGGCCTCTTCCTTGTATTTTCTCCGTGCTTAAATGATCATTTTTCCAATCCCGTAACTTTCCTTGCCAATTCTTTCGAGAGGGAGGGGGTGTCTCGTTAATAGATGTTGCTCGTTAAATCATCAAACCATGTGCAACAGGTACACAAAATGTATTTATCAAACTATTGAATGAAATCGAAGTGCCCAGGGCGTGTGAGGGCAAAATCGTAAAAATCGAATGGTAACTTTTTATTATTCAGGATTGTACTCGTCGGTACTTTGATCCGGCTTCGAGGGGACTGTTTTGTTTTGCACATGCCCATACTGGACAGGGGGTTCATGATTCGCGGAGCTTCAAAGCCCCTTAGGAAAGGATGAGATGCACATATCGGCTTATCGAGCGGCTTGCAGTGGTCCCTCGTTCACGCAAGTCTCGGATGGCCGATGTGCTTCCAAGATCCCCCCGTAAGGCAATGACCAGATGCGAGAGAACTGTGTGGAAGAGCAAGCGCTCTTCGAATCATTCATGATTCTGTTCATGTCGCTGTATGACAGTAGAGGGAAGGGTCGAGATGATCATGTTTGTTGGTGTAAGTGCGCTTGGGCACTTGAGAGTTGCGGTTGATATCTCTTTTCGCTGCTTCCCCTTTTGTTGTCTGGTCTTTGAGTTGTGTCATTGCTTGTTGTTGTCTGTATGTTTCCGGCATGTGCAAATGTAATTTCACGGAGTTTGGATCAGCCCGTCCTCGGGCCATTGTAAGAAGTCGGTCCACAGACATTCCTCGTTCAAGAGAGCCAGCGTGTCGTCCTGCGGCAGAGCAACGACGCTCCCGGGGCCGGAGGTGGAGCCAGAGGCCGAGCTGGAGCCAATATCGGACAGCTCGCCCAGGTTGCCGGTGAACAGAGACTCGTTGAACCACGAGAAGTCGTCCATGCCCGAGCTCGGCGTGACGGGCTCCGGGTCGACCGTCGCATCCTCGGGGGCCATGTCCGCTGCTGGGCACTCTCTACTGCTGGCGGCTAGCCGCTGCCTCTTGACATACTCGACGGGCGTCATGCCGACGCACCGCTTAAACACGCGGTGGAAGTGCCACTTGGACAGGCCGACCTCCTTGGCCATCTGGCCGAGGCTCAACCTGGCGCCGGCCTTGCCAGCTCTAGAGGACTTGCTCTCGCCGCCGTCGCGGACAAAGGCGCGTATCCGCCTTACCGCGCGCTCCTCGGGCATGAGGCCCTCGACCTCGGGCTTACACCGCTTGCAGGCGCGGAAGCCGGCGTCCTGGGCCTGCCGCGAGGTCTGGTAGAAGGTCACATTGGCCCGGCGGGCCAGGCGGGCTTTACAGATGGGCCGGCAGTAGATCTTGGTGGAGCGCACGCCGTAGACGAAGAAGCCGTCGGAGACGGGGTTCCGCGTCTGCAGGGCATTCCACCGCGACTCGTCGTCATCGAAGAAGGACATGACGGGGGAAGCTTCCATGGTGGGCAACAGTATATTCTATTCTTGATGCGGGAGAGTGCAATGGAGGCGAGAGAGAGATAAGAGGAGGTAAAAAAAGAAACGTTTGTCTTTCTAAGCGCAGCAGACCGGTCTGACTGATCTGACGGCGTCAAAGTCAAGGGCCAGCAAGGCGATGGAACTAGGTTCCGTGGTTGGTCCACCTGGATCTCGGGGGAGACGTGGTGGGTAGATCAGGAACAGCGGCAACAACGACCAGGTTGATAAAGAACGCGGATGCAAGTTGACGTGACATGAAGGATACAGTCAATTCTCTTGTTAGATGCAGGAATCTGGAAGCCCAGAAGCTGGCTTGTGTTGTAACTGGTGTAGTCATTCATACGATTATCAAAAGCGGGGCCCTTGCTCTCAAATTGACCAATCGGAATGCAGAGCCCGCGCCAGCGAACAGGCACTGAAACTGGGGGAAGGAACGAGGCATCGTGACATTTCTGGCTGCTGCTCGAGGCTTCTAATTTCTGAGACCTGGTTTCTAAAAGCTCTGCTGTCCTTTCTCTCAGTCATTTTCTGTTCACTTTTTTTCCCCTTTCAAGTTTTTTCACCCTACCCCGTATCGCCTCTCCGTTGCTCCCAAACTCTCTCTCTCCTCGTCCCCCACACCAACACCCTTTGTTTCGATCCCTTCAGCCAAGAGACCGGGGTAATAGCAAGACTTTCCTAATCCATCCACATCCAAGATCATTCTCTGTCAGATGCTCCGTTTTTTGGTGTTTAGCCTCTCCGACTCAAGATTCCCTGTCGTAGGTACAATGCTTGTCTATTCGACTTCTTAAACGAACTGCCACCCTGCTTCGATCTGATGCTGGGCCTCCATGCCCTGAGGCTGAACCACAGGGGTGCTCGAAGGACCCGAAGTATCCATATGCTTTATCACCACTCATCGTTAGCTTTGCCCAGAACAACGTCCACAAGCAGGATAAACCAACCACTTCATTTGCTACCTCGCTCACGGGTGCGGGTGCAGACTTTGGCCCAGGCACGGGCTTGGGTATGGCTTCAAGTGAGGGCGCAGGCGCAGGCATAACCATTCCCTGCTTTACAGCTGGCAACCGGGCCATCCACTTATGAAGTACGAGAGCAATTTCGTCGCTGTTCTTCTCCAGAAACATCAGGCGGCCATTTCCGCGGATACACAATTCCTCGAGGCGGAGCCAGCTGACTTGTAATCCCGCCTGCTTCATGAAGGCCACAGTGGCCCAGTCGAAGATCGAGTGCGAGCTGGCTTCGGCCGTGATGACAGCGTGGGGAACCTTTTTCAAGTGAAGGAGTTGGTGGAAGATCATCTCGCCTCCCTCGGTAACCCTGACGGGATTCTGCATGAAGCATGATTTGCGAGGATCCTCTGGGTTAGTGTACTCACAAAGCGGGAAGAGGGGATTATTTCTCCTGTCCACGGTCGGATCTGGGATGATTGACTGTGGCTTCGGGAGGGGAGGGTCGTACGTCAACGGGATGTCAGCCAGGCCCCATTCTCTGACCTCTGGATCAAACACAGCACGGTGACCATAGAGTCTGCCTCTGCTCCGAGCGCTCCCAAAAGGTGGCCCGGAAGGTTCAATACTTAGGACTCCAGCGACCAGGCCATACATCACATCTGTTGTTAGCCAAGACATAATGCATCCAGTCCCCTCGCCGATAAGGATTGCTTTTCCTGTTCTCTGAAGCAGGGCGGAAAGTGCCTCCTGGGCTTGAGTTTGTCGTTGCTAACGATCAGTCTCAAGGACGGTGACGGATGCCATGTACTGAGTGAAAATCGGGTCTCCCTGACGACCATCCTGTCCTTTTGTTAACGAGCTAGGCCTTCCAAACCTTTTCGTACAATGCGACGGCGATAACCTACACCTGGCCACTGGGTATGACGAGCAACGGTTTCCCAAGCACTCGCCTGATGCCAAGGGTACTTCTCCGGGCAGGTAAGCTCTTGCTCCACGGTTTGAGGCGTGAGGGAGCTCAGCTTCGCCACGTTGCCTCCCGTGGACGAGGGATGCTTTCCGGATCTTCCAACTCCAGGCAAGTCCACCAGGTAGACGTGATAGCCTTGCTTCAAGAAGTAGGCTGCCCATCCCGGGCTTCCATCTGGCTTATCCAGCCAGACCTGAGTTTTCAGCAAACAAGGCGCCTTTGGAGAATGCTCAAGCATTCACATACCTTTCCACTGTGGAAGTCACCATGGATGAGCACCAGAGGGTAGGGTTGCGTGACCTTCTCTGGCTCAAGGCTCTCGACGTACATGTGGCCAGAGAGGTGTGTTCTGATACCCCGGGGCCATTCGGGGTGAATGTAGAAGGTTTGGCGGCGGCAAAGAGGCTCGAGGGGTCCTGCAGGCTGTTAGTTTTGTTGCGGGTGGCAAGCAGATAGCAGCGAGCTGCCGTTATCACCTTGAGATGATGCCATGGCTCGTTGTTGATGGCTACGCTGCTAAACTTCTAGATACGATTTCTGTTTGAGTGTGAAGCAAAGAAGAAGGAGTAAAGCGAGATTCAGAAAGGAAGTGTTGGGTTTTATAGCTGATTTTCAAGGTGCACTGCTAAAGTGAGCTCAATCTGAGAACGAAGACTCAGTGGCGGGCCGAAACGCGTTGTTGACTGTGGACAATAAGAAGTGACTGGCTCACCTGCCGTTGGGTTCTCACAATGCCCTCAACAGTAGCTATGAATGGACTACATGCTTATCAATGAAATCTCCCGCTGCTGCCTAGTTTTGGGCATTTATTCATGAAGAAATTTCATTGCGCATTCAGAAATAATGTCGCTGGTCAAGCAAGCTGTATCACATGTGATGGAAAAAGTCACATGCCGTAATACGCAATTTCCAATCTCATGACTATTGTTCAAATTGTAACCCTTCGCCCACCCATCACTCATGCTTTGGTGATTTCTCTTGATGTTATTCTTGCTTTCGTAGTTTCATAATCGTGACTGTTGTATTATCCTCCAACCGATGCCTAAAGACGGCACATTTCATGTCAGGTGGAGGTGCTGAAAACTGTCTGTTATCCCCGATTGCCTCACAATTGGAAGAAGAGAAGAATAATATCCAATTGTGAGAAAAAGAGTCTTTGTGTTCAGAATTCGATTCATACCATTTCATCATCGCTATCATCTCTCGTCGTTCTCGTCGTCTTCTCCAAGGAAGGCGACGGGGTCGATACGTATCAATATTTTCCTCCACACAGGTTGCACAATTTCCCAGAACAACACAATAATAGCTTTGTAGTCTTAGACACCTTCCAAATTTGCTCCAAAGTAGCAAGAAAGACAAGAGATCTCGTAGCATAGCGATAACAAAGCCTTAGGAAAGAGAGGACAGAGTTCCGCCTCACGGTGAGGTGGGTGCCGGCGCATCATCCTTCATGTCGGGAATCCACCCCTTAGGTCGCTCACTTCCACGGACGACGATGCCATAGCCTAGCTTCTCGACTTTCTGAACGCTCTGTCGCATGACCTCCATCTTACCCCTGTAGTCCTTGGTCGGGATCTCGGGCAGCATCTCGTAGGCACAGCTCAGCTCGTGGATGTCGGACAAGATGTTGCGTCCAGCCTCGTTGCCGACCAGCTCGCCCATCTGAGCCGTGGTCACGGTCGCGAAACGCATCATTTCGCCGAACAGATCAAAAACTCCGAAGAGGTAGTCATGCGGCGTAAGAGAGATGTCCGTGGGCATTGCCGCATCAACCTCGCCCTTTGAGATAAGGGTCTGGTGGCGGAGGTAGTGAAGGAATGACAGGGCCTCCACGAACTCCTCGAGGCACCGGAGGGAGTATGAGTAGCGGTATCTATTAAGTGACTGGAGATCGGGGACGACAGAGGTTAGAAGCTTGGAGATTTCTTCAAGCTTCGAATCGACATCCTTCTGTGTGCCTGGGGGGATGCCCTTGCCTAATTGTTTGACTCTATGACCTGGTTAGACTCCGTTGAAAATATATTTCCCCTGTTGATGCTCACCTTTGGAGAGAGAATATTCTGTGAGACGGTAAGAAAAAGCACCAAGCGTTAGCAGTACAGCTCAGGAATGCAAAATTGTGATGGTTGCTCACATTTTCTTGCTTAAAGCAGTCACGTCACGAGAGGCCTTGATTATTCTCTCCCGCCTATCGTGATGCTCGTCAAGCTCGTCCCTGAAACCTTCAAACATATCATGGAACCGGCCTCGGGGACCGTCCTGGGGTGCTGGCTTCACTCTTGCGTTTCCATCCCGGTCTCTCTTAACGCCCGACATGGTAGACAAGAAGTATGACAGCGCTACCCACGTCGATGAGGATATTCAATTATGTATATTGAGGCGCCAGGAATAGATATATTAGGTCATTCCCGAATTATCGCCTGTCTGTGGAGGATGTGCAAGCAGCTCTGGATGGCCTTGACGTTTGATGGATTGTTGGATGCAGGTTGAAGATTTGTGGGGCCTGGAACTGGACTGTGCCCAGTGAGAAAACACTGCCATCTGCCAGGTGAAAGCAACCACCAAGAGCCCCCAAACCCCTGATATAACAGCCAGATTGCCTAAAGCTGTGCTGCTTGATGAAATCTTGGGGTCAGAGGAGTAGTGATTGAGACCTACGAGCGATCACTCTCTCACTTTCTCAGTCTTGGTGAAATCTACTTTTCTCATCTTAGACTTTTACTCTTTTCTCATTGAGCATGAGGTGCGACCATACACAGCTCATCTCATCTCTTGATACCCTCACCACCACAGCACCATGATCCCCTCGGCCCTCTTCCGGCCAGCGCCGCTATTCTCTATAGCCGCTGCGCTCCGTCTCACTCTCCTCGTCTACGGCATCTGGCAGGATGCCAATTCCGCCTTGAAATACACAGACATTGACTACCTCGTCTTCACCGACGCCTCCCGCCTCCTGGCCAGGGGACAGAGCCCCTACGACCGCGACACCTACCGCTACACCCCTCTGCTCGCCTGGCTCCTCCTACCCACTGCCGGCCCCTCCTCCTCTGCCATCCTCTTCTCCTTCGGCAAGGTCGTCTTCGCCCTGGCCGACCTGCTCGCGGGGTGGCTCCTCCTCCGCATGCTCCAGGCCCGCCGCGGCATGACCCTCGAGCGGAGCGGCGCCTTCGCCGCCCTCTGGCTCTGGAACCCCATGGTCGCCACCATCAGCACCCGCGGCAGCTCCGAGGGCCTCCTGGGCGTGCTCACCACCGCCCTGCTCTGGGCCGTCGAGCGGAGGCGCAACTGGCTGGCGGGCGTGATCCTGGGGCTCGGCGTCCACTTCAAGATCTACCCCTTCATCTACGCGCCCGCCATCGTCTGGTGGATGGACGCCGAGCACACCGGCTGCGTCGCGCTCGGGAACAAGAGGGCCTCCGTGAAGGACCGGCTGCTGTACTTCATCACGCTGGCCAGGGTCGAGCTGGCCGTCACCAGCCTGGCCACCTTTATGCTCCTCAACATCCTCATGTACTCCATGTAAGTCAACCCCAAGCAACAACACCTCCAAAATGTAGGTAATTTCACACGACTTTCTAACAATAAAATTTCTCCCCTCAAGGTATGGACACCCATTCCTCCTCCACACATACCTCCACCACGTCACCCGCATCGACCACCGCCACAACTTCTCCGCCTACAACACCCTACTCTATCTCAACTCGGCGGCAACAGACTCCTCGTCCTCCTCCTCCTCCTCCTCGTGGCACGCCGAGTCCCTCGCCTTCCTCCCCCAGCTCCTCCTCTCCTGCCTCCTCATCCCCCTCGCCATCGCCAAGAAGGACCTCGCCACCTCCATGCTGGCGCAGACGTTCGCCTTCGTCACGTTCAACAAGGTCTGCACCTCCCAGGTAAGCAATCATGGACTCCTCTTTTATTCCTCTGACCAAAGAAAAAAAACCATGGCTCCAAGTTTTGCTCACACCCTTTGTAAAACCAGTACTTCCTCTGGTATATGGTGTTCCTACCGCTCTACCTCCCCAGCTCCTCCCTCCTCCGCAACCCCAGACTCGGCATCTCCGCCCTCCTGCTCTGGGTCGGCACCCAGGGCGCCTGGCTCCAGCAGGGATACCAGCTCGAGTTCCTGGGGAACAGCACCTTCTTCCCGGGGCTCTGGCTCTCCTCGCTCGCCTTCTTCGCCACGAATTGCTGGATCCTGGGCATCATTATCAGCGATGGGGCTTCTGACAAGAGCACAGCTCTTACACAGTAACTATGCAGTAGATAGCATCTAGGTCGGGACCAGATTCCCTCTATCATGGTGCCTTATCCCCTTGATGTTACAAGGGTGAGCAAATATTCACAAGACATTGTTACTCGTGGTCTATAAGTCGAACAAATAAAATAAAAATGGCTTCAATATTTTAGTCAATAGCTAAACTTACTCCTCAAATTTTGATATGGGTGGTCTGAAAACACTCTTCCCACAGTTAATACCGATTCATCGTAACGCTGTCCAACCTTTTTCACCATGTAGCATCCTTAACTCCATAAACCGCCAAGAGCCCGCCCACTCTGGGTATAAATTAAATGCGGAGTTTTCGTTCACCTCCAAAGATTCATAAATAACTCTGACAGCCTTATGTCAGTCAAAACAAACCAAAATTGACAAAATAAAGGGACCATGAAAACAGTCGAATGAGCAGCAAATTTTTGAGATAGGGAGAAAACGGTTTGAGGCTTCAGGACAGATCCTACAAGCCTAGTGCGCAGTTCAAGTCGAGATTTATTGCAGGCTTCCTCAATGGATCGTCATTCGGTTCGCGAGCAGCCGGTAATTTTCAACTTTCAGAGATGTAATCTTGGTCTGGCAGGGGTTGTCTGGGGAAACCACCATGCGACCCTCCTTGTTATATATGATGTTGCCAAACGAGTGGCTCAGCTCCACAAAGGTAACATGCGGACGTGCGCGGTTCATCTCGTTGATGATTCGCTCGCTCCATAAACCCGAGCAAACACCGTTTTGCAAGAGGAAGAACGGGTTCAAGGCTGGCAGTACGGAATCTAGTTTTGGTTAGCATAGTACTCCATTGAGTGTGGGGAAGATGTTGAGGGTAGAAATTCTTACCCAGGTCCACAAATCGAATCCTCATGTATTCGACTTGATTTAGTACGGCCAACGAACGAACAGCGGACACCACAAGCTTTTCGAAGGCCTCGATGAAGCCCATATCCTGGATTCCTGATCCAGACTCGTGGAAACTAGCCAGAGGGCGGCAGCAATTCTTGACGGTCAAATCAAGCGATTTGAGCCTGGTGTTGCGGGGATCGACAGATCGCATGGCGGTATCGAGAAACATGTGGCAGACACGGCCTGTGTAGGACAAGTGCTCGAGCTGAGACAAGTTGGCGGCCATCACACTGCAAAAATGGCTCTTTACAGCGGCCTTGGAAAAGAATGCTGGCATTACAGGTTCCCGTCGATAATCGGTTTCGAGGCAGAGCTTGAGATTCGAGATGTTTGGTGGGAGCTGGGGCAGAAACTCGCAGAGGGTGATATAAGACTTCGACTTGGGCCTACTGTACGAACCGTCCCAGTGTGTCAAATTCGGTAACGCGCCAAGGACGGTCATAAAGTCCTCGTTGTCACGCATCAAATTCCACTGGCCCTTCGTAATCAAGGTCGAAACGGAAGATATGGGGGTCAATGATCTCGGGCCTGCACTGCCGTTGTCCCGGCTGTGGAAATGATGAACTTTGGGCGCCTTGCGTCGTTCACCTCCCTCCAACGACAACACCTGCACATGGGGTAGGGTGGCTGCCACGAACTGGAAAACTCCCTCCAAGGTGCAATTGTTCCCAGGCAACACGTAAGCGGCATTCGTTAGACCATCAGTCGTCACAGTAGGCAGGCTTAGGCTGGGTGACATGACCAGGCGACCATATGAAGGCTGGAATACTGGGAACCATATCTCCATGTGCATTACATACGGCTGGAGATGCTGATTCTGGGCAAAGTGCAGCATCGCCCCTTCCAGTGAGTCGTATGTCCCCTGGAGCTTGATGTGCCTGTAGAGCCTTTGCTGCACAAGGATTCTCCATACTTGGCTAACTAAGGCCAGCTCCGTCAACTGTCTCCTCCTCGCATGGCGCATGGCAGTCCCCCAGCTCCTGCGGATGCTTGATACTTCCATGCCGCTTCTTGAGGTTGGGGATATCCGAAACCCAAAAATATGGTCCAAGATGGCTTCGAGGACCTCGATTGGCAGATCTTGCAGGCCAATGCTGGGCACGGCTTGGTAAACCGAGTCAAACAACGTGATCTCCGAATCACTGGCATCATCCATCTGCGATCCCGAGTCATTTTCCGAGTCGTCCATAGGAGCATATGATCTCTGATGCTCGGTAAATGGAAATGGTGTGCTCTTCGGTCGGAGAGGAGTGTCAAAGTCCATTTCGATGGACTCTTCGGCGGGCGGGCTGGATGACCCCGGTGTTCCAATATTCGAACTTGGCTCGATGAGCTTGGAGATGGGCGAGGCGGCGAAGCTGCCAAAGAAGTGCTCCTCTCTCCTCCCTTCGTGTGACATGCAGTTTTCCAACCTCATTCTCTCCATTCCTTGGACGGGGACAGCGGCCTCGGTATTAGCGTTGGGTACACGGCGTCGGCGTCTGGCTGCTACAGAGCGGGGGCCCGAGTGTTGGGTAGCGTGCTGTGATTGGAGACGACGGCAAGTAGGCTTATGGGATTGGCGACGACGACAGCATCTCGCGTCACAATTCGACATTTCGACCATAGGATGGGGAGGGGGCGTCAGGAGGGTGGTGGCACGAGACAGCCAGCAGGCTGTCGTACCCAGCCCGAGAAGTTGGTATCAACAGAGGACTCGCACTCAAACGTCTCACATGAACACAGCCCCGGCGGCAAAGAAGAAGAACACTTGTCGTGGTCGTCGGCGGCAGCGGCGGTGGCGGCTGGAGATTGTGTTGCAAGGAGAAAACGAGATTGTGGTCTGAGGTGTCTGTCTTTAATTAATTAGTCGGTGCAAGACGCCCAGTGGTCGTCGTCTAGACCCAGCCCACCGCGGCACACAGGTGGTTCAACGTCAAGTCAGAGCAAGAGAATATGCACGAGGACCAGGCGGTGGCGGTAAATCAAGTGGCGTCGTGGTTATGGCATGGACAGTTGTATTGATGTCCTGGAACGTTGGGGCAGCGAAAGCGCGGGAGCCAAGGAGCAAAGGAAATTACACAGGCAAGATAAGGTATGGGGTGGAGGAGAAGCAGGTCCTCATTCCAGGAAGGCGAGTCACGTCTTTGGGCCGGCTTCTGTCAGCGTCTCTGTCGGAAGGTGCGAATGAGGTTGCGACACATAGGTAAGGAGGGAACCCGATCCCAACGAGTGAGGCGAGCAAGCGACGAATGGGGGCCGATCTGTTTTGTCTGTCCGTTTGGGTGTTTGTTTGCTGGAGGTGCGTGGCTGGCTGCTGGCACTTTACGCGCTGAGGTAGTAATTGGGCTGGGCTGCACCAATGGACGGAGTGGACGTGCACAGCACAGCGGGTGGTGATGGCAGCAGACTAATTAATTTAATTGCACATTCAATGATCCATCGGTACCAGCAGCACTACTTGTAAGTGCTTGCATTATTAGTACCCTCGCCGGAATGGGGCACCTGGCTGCAGCCGGAGATAGTGGATGGAACCTGCCCTTAGTCAGAGGCATCCTCAGTGCCCTCCTCGCACTCAGGCTTCCATGAATCAAGTGTCAGTCAGTCTCAGGCAGCGCTCGGGTTGCACCTCGTCGAGGCATTGTACAGGGCTTGTGCTAATTATGCCACGGCCGTCCGCTGCGTTTCATGTGCATGCATCGATCTGAGCCGCAACGTCGCGTGCCGCAAAGCCCCTTCTGGTGAGGGGTCCCCGTTTTCCTCCCATTAACCTAATACGAGAAGCCGCCGCCCAAAGAGGTGCCGGCACGAGGCGTGAGGGCGACTGATCAATGCCTCTCCAGGCGTTTGGAGGCAGCGCTGCACACCCACCAGGCTGAGGTGACGTGAACTGGATGAGCCACATGATACTGAGACGGGCACCACCTGCACGCCGACCACCTCGAATGACGAACATGTGTGGTATCTGCCGTGCATCGAAAACTGTATCTCTCCTTTGCTTACTTCCTTTGTTCCCTTCTTTGTTCCCTTCAGTGGACAATCAGGTGGGCAAAGCGCATGACGCATGACGCATCAACAAATTCCCTTTTTCAGCTCCATATCATGCACAACCACCGCGGTGGTGAATATGTGTGATTCACACCAACAGTGGCTTCGTTGCGGCATGACCCTCATTTCTCATGACTATACTCCTATCTTCTTCCGCGATCCCCGACTGGCTAAAATGCAACTATCTTGTTTAGAACATTGTCCGTGCGAGGATAACTTCCAGACTTCAACTCCAATCTCTGCTTGGAATGCACATCGATAAGATGCTCCAGTTTTCCGAGTATCAATTCCTTGTCTCATCTTCCGACTTATTGGTTCTCATGGCGTGCAGTCGAACTGTTAAGACGCAATCGTACTAAGTTGCTGGCGCCAAAAGCCTAATCAATCTACCTCCTCAAGAAGTTCCGGAATGGGATAAGTACCTAGATATCAGAGGCCTTCTATTCTTTCCTCCAGGCCATGTCCAACATATCAGGCTTTCCGCTCATCTCAAGACGGCTACCATCCTATATATATTCATATCCATGGATGAGCTATTGAAAGACCAAGGTCGCAAGGAGCAGACCGAGCCGCGGAGGCCGACCAAGAGGATCGGCCGTCCATGACGCCGGGTATAGATGATCTCCCGTCCGCTTCGGCCTCCATGATTGTATTACCTAACCCAACCTTGGTCGTAACTGCACATGCCCACTCTGTACAGCTCTCAGGGATCGTCTATTGTGGCGAGAGACCTCAGCCCTGGGGTACCTCATAGCATGACGGCTAACGAAGATTATTTTAAAATACGGCACACAGTTGGTCTAAACCGGCAGGTCAGTCTGCTTCTATGTTTATTCATATTGGAAGGCATATTTATCATCACAATGAGACAAACGATGCATGGTTTTGCCTCCTAAATCCTATATTGGCCAAAAGAAGCCGCAGGCTCCAACATGAGCTGACATTCTGTCAGCCTCCATAGCTTTATGCAAGGCTACACCGAGGATCTCATAGATCTGTGCTTTTTTTAATGGCGGACCAAGATACCATTAAAACCCTTCAGCTGCAGTCCATACGCGTGTTTATCTCAAACCATGCTATTCGTCACATTGGCTCACCGGGGACTTGAGAATTCAGGAGTTGCCAGCCCAGGAGATCCTGCGCCACGACCCCTCCTGTTGTTCAATCTGTAGCCTGAAACCCTCCCTGGTGCTTGGCAGAGGAGGCTCGTCGAGATCCAGGAGTTTTCAACGGCTAGAGTGCCGCTGGAAAGACGCTAGCATCGGCAATGGTTTCAAGGGCACCAAGAATTGAGAAATAAGGTCGCATTGTATTACCATCCCCTTGCTAGGCTGAATTTACGGGCGCCTTGTCCTGAACAGCCAAGCAGCTTGGACCAAGGCCTCGGCGTGCAGAGCTCTCGTACCACACTATGCCAGCTAGAGAGTTTGTGGAAGGAGATTCTCCATTGGGATCGAGACCGGGGAATGCCCAGCCCACGATAATGGGCAGCAGCTTATTGAGAATCTCGGAAATTACATGCTCGCGTTGGGAAAATCAAAAAGCAAAGATGCTGCAGCCTGACGTGGGTGATCACAGCGATGGCCCTGCCAATTTACCTTGTTGGTGTGCAGCATGCAAGTGGCTGCAGCCACGCGCCTAGAACGCAGAGACTGTCGAGCCAGCGGGCGATAATAGATGTCAGCCTGCTGCAAGTGCGGTGTCAATGCAGAAAATATTGGTTTGGCAAAACGGCCAGCGTCGTGCACACGCGGCCGTCTGCGCTGTCTGTGAGCTGACCGAACTATCTGGTGATAGGTCATGCCGAGAGCTCGCCGGAATGTGTTCATGTTTCAAGATTCTGCTGGAGGGGTCGCGGACCCACGCCAGACGCCGCAGGTGCCGGTCATCTCCCCTGCTGCCCAATCATATCCCGAGAATGCGACATGGAGCCCATGGCAATGCTGAATCTGAGGCACAGAGGCCGGTGGCACCTGGTCAAATCTCCCGCGACTAGGACCCCTACGTCGCTCTGCCTTGGTGAGGACTGCGCCAAAAAGGAGAACCTCAGGGCTAGCCGATAGGCACCTCCCGAAGACCCCCTCCAAACCACAGTGGAGGTGGCGCCTGTGCTGTGGTGCGTGCGCCACGCCAGGACAGAAGAGGAACCGCTACGACAATGATGTACAGCGGGTGCTCAATGCCGGGACCCAAATTTGGCTTTATTGCCGCTGGTTGCACCGCTATGGCGCCTGCCCTGGACACACTGCCCAGCCAGCGTTTCGCCATGATACAGCGCATACCCCACTGATTAGCCCTAACCTCCAGCGCGTGGAGGTATCACAGACTCTTCTGACCAATGGCCTCCGCGACAAGAGAATTTCATCTCCCGAACCGAGTCACATCCCCAGCGTTTAAACAAGCTTTGATTGGGCCAACTACGGGTCGGATGTGGTCCGCCCAGCAATTGCGTACTCTCAGGCGCCGAGACGAGTATTCTCCAAGGAAGAGAGAGAGAATTGCGTGTCGTCCAGATCTGATATCCACATGCTAGTCATTCAGATGATGAAGGAGAAAAGCTAGAGGCACAGTCGCCAGTTTCGCCGTCTGCCCAATGCAGGTGATACTTGAACTTGGCCAGATGAGGCTGCTGGCGACCGGAGTAAGCTATAACGGCTGGGCCGCATACGCTGGTCTGTGGTCCGTGAGGCGTCGAGACTATCTAACTGCTAGTTGTGGTTGAGGTTCTGGATGTGGTTGGACGTGATGGTGCAGGGGCCGAACAATGACCCCTTGTCATGTCTGTACCTGCGTGCAACTGCCACCAAACGGGCAGCAGAATTCGTTGGATGGGGCTGGCCCAGCTGCCGCTTGGGTGGCTGACACTGCGTAACCACCTAATCTTTAGGTCCGAGAGCACCCTAAAACTAAGCGCAACAGCTCGAAACAGCCAGTGCGTTTGACTTGGCATACTCAAGTCCCCACCAGCCTGGTCCCGGCGAGATTCTGGCCAACCAATGTAACCCTGCTGTTGGCTGTCCCCGTCCAGGGGCCCCTGGACGACTCATCCCCTGCCACAGTCTCCATCATGGAGACTGCACTTCGGGTGGACGACACGAATTGAATCCAGTTCGATGGACCGCCGCGAAGCAGAGGCCCCCGGCTCCAGTGGCCCATGGCCAGTCGACTGTGGGTGACCGGGATGGGACGTTGTTGAAAAGACTCCTGCTCCCAGATCTGGCCCTCCAAGAAGATCTC